TTCCATGACTCTAAATGAACTTTGTTCTTCTGTTGGTGATATGTTTTTTTTTTTCAACGATAGTTGTATTTTTCTTCAAAATGTGTCTTTTTAATCAAAACGTGTCTTACGCTAATTAGTCACAAAATTTGATCTTTTTATATTGGATTACTTTTTGTTTTTTTCTGCCTCATTTCCGTTTTATATTTGCTTGTTTTTGTTCTGATCTAACCTTCAAAATAAGATCTATTTCTCATTTTCTTTATTTCTATTTCTGGATGAAAAACAGGTTAGGCATTTGATATCAAAGCTTTTTTTAATAGAAAAAAGTAAAGAAAGCATGTTAATTAAAACTAATATATATTGCTTTAGGGATAAAAATAGAACTATAATCTCAGTTTTTGATGCAGATTGATCAGTCACGTATATATATATATGTAATTTCGTTCATTTTTTTAGCATATGTTTTTGAAATTGAAGTTGAGAACAAAGAATTTGGTCTTTAGACATACGGTAAATTGTCAACTTCGAAACCATTTGTTAATTTCTCCCCGAACATAAATATTATATCTTGCAAATAAGTATAATGCTGTGAAACACACCAGTAGTGTATACATACTACACGAAACAGAGGAAATAAGAAATTTTCCCAATCAAGTTACTCACAATAGTCAGAAAATCTTTTTTTTATGTTCAAAATTGTTTCCGTTATATGTCGAACATGATTAAGATGTTTCTTTTTTCTCGCATATTCTCATTTTTCTAGGTTATAGAGAAGTATAGGAGAAAAAAAGCGATTATAAGACCTGAACAAATAGAACTCTCCTATATTGATCTAATATACACATAAAATCTTCTTTTTAAATACAAATTTATACTAAATAGATGTATTTTTTCGATGTAAGCTCTCATTTTAAATCCAAAAAAAAAAGAACTTCTTTGGAAAAAAAAATAGAATACACTTCAGTGAATTTGGCTTTGAGAGGAAATTTATGAAGCGCAAAGAAACTATATACAATTTTACACTCTATATTAAAAGCAAGACACAAACCAATATAATATCTATATATTGTATGGTGACGTACAGGAAAAAAAAGAAAACTATTATTTATTAGAACGAGTAATAAAATTAACAAAAAAAAAACTGATCCTCTTTTGTAATATAATAAAATAAAGGCAATTACGATATGTGTAGTTAATATATCGTGGTGGTTTTCTTTTTAAGTTTCGCTTCGCTTTCACAGAATATATCTGTAAAAACAAAAAAACATCCTCTCTGATCATCAACAAAATCAATGATCGTCTAATAATATAAATATTTATCTTTTCTCCTATATTTTTTTCCTTGCGCACGAGTGCAATGAGTGAAAATGATTTTTCTAATGTTAAGTAATCGAAGTAATTATATTGATAAAAAAATAGAAATTTTTTATCAACTAATATTCGATTAGGTAATTGTCAGTATGGATGCCGAAGTACCGGCAATTGTCTATATCCAATCAAATGGTATGTTATCGTTGTTTTCTATAAGTAATTCTTATAAACGGAATGAGAGAAAGAGAGAGAAATCGATTTTAAGGAACGGTTAAAAAAATGGACAAGAATTATCAAAGACAGAGACTTGTATTTTAATTTTGTAATTATTAAAGGTGAAAATATATGAGCCTGATTTGATAATAGTTTTCGTTCTTGTTAGCTATTTACTCGAACAAACTTTCACTCTGTACGAATCGTTAAAGTTTCTTCACAGACACATCTTTTTAATGATGAACTAAAAGTTTTCATACTACAAAGACAAGATACTTTACGATCGTTTATCAAAGTTACAAGTGTTCTGATTTTATAGTAAAATTTTCAATCTTTTACGATCTGCAAAAGTTATAGAATCGTTGAGCAAGAGAAATTTAACTTGAAATAAGCAGAGCAGACATTTTCTGTTAATCGTAATAGTTAAACTAACTTAACTAATGTCGTAAAACATCTCATATTATCTAGTTTCAATTAAACTGTGAATGTAATTAAAATAGGGATCGGAATTCATATGGTGGTCGTTAGATTGAAAATAGCCGAGTAGCATTGCCTTCAAAAACTAGAAATGAGTTTTCAAATGAACATTTGCCTGGTAGATCTTTTAGCTATCTCATCATCTACCTCTAGACTATGTTTTAGAATGTTCTAGAAGATTACAATAACCGTCACGTCAGATCGCGTTGTCTACTGAATCTGTCGAGTTTATATGGTTAGATATTCATTATTCAGTTTGTCTTCTTCTTTCATCCAAAATGACGAGTCACTCATTATTTTTCATGCGTTATTATTCCATCACACAATATGATTCTAATGGGAATGGATAAAAAAAGAGAGAGTGATAAAGTGTATTGTGAAAGTGTAGAAACAAAACAAGTATAATCTATATCGTTACAAGATAATTTTCTTCTTCATAAAAAAAACTAACACAAAGTTCTGTTAAAAGTCATTTTCCCACATATCCTATCATACGGCAATTATATTATGGTTAAATTTGCAGGTATTCAGTGCTTGCATATTCTACGAAAAGTAATCAGAGATACATCTTTGTTCTACACTTAATATAATTACACAAAACTTCGTATACCAGAATATAAAACAAAGTCTATGAGGAGAAAAGTTCGTTTCAGGATGATGGAGCAGAAAACGAGAAAAATTTTCATAATAGAGAGGGCAAAGAGAATAAAGTTAAACCTGAAAAAATCTAAGTGTTCTCATCAAAAATTCAAAGTAATATAAAGCACCACTTGCTGAATTTTTCAGAATTTTTAAAGATAAGTGGGTATTCAAATAAAATTCGAAACGTTTTCCTTTACTGCTAATATTGAGTGGGGGCATGTGATGACAATAAAAAAAAAAATAGAAATAATATTTTGTAACGATGATTAGCTATTTTTGCTTATAATGACGGATTGATAGCTGACACAAAAAAATGGGCGAAGTTATCAATTTTTTTTTCGCAGTCTCTTACAATAGGACTTTCTTTCATCGTCTGATGTTGCATCTATGTTCTGTTTTTTTTTGTTGCTTGCTATGTACACACCTATAACTCATTAATCTTACTCAACACAATTTCTTCATTCATGCATATTTTACGATACTCTTACATCTTTCTTTTCGGAATGTTCAACGTCGTTGTTTGTAGAGATATTACAATTGGCTATGCTAATTTATACAGGATTTGACATAGCCAGGAGAAGTCTAAATGAAACTTTAGTCAATGAAATAAGAGCTGTACGACAAAGATTTGTTCGCGTTCAGAAAATTGAGTCCAACAACGATAAGTCTCAAACCCGACCTCGACAAAACCGCAGACGAATCCGATTCGATTCTAGAATCAATTTATGAATCTCTATAGTATGATTCGAAAAGTTCGTTTTGGAGTAGAAATAGGATTTAAGAGAAAAATATAACCGATTTTCTGTGCATTTTTTTTGTTTAGAGTTCTAGCAGAAAAAATTGTTTGTCTCATATCTTTCGCTAGCATATTCTCAGTGAAAATGATTCTTAGAAGATGTGTTTTTGGAAAATGATTGAAACTGTGAGAAAATGAATCGTTTATAAGCAGTTTCTTGATTTTGTTTGATTCAATGGTATTGTCGAACTATAATATGTAAACGTTGATTATCTCAATTTTCCAAAAGTTAAATGTAATAACCTTTAAAATCTAATCAGCTTAAAATAGCCTCTGATTTGTTGTCAACAAGTATCTAGTGCTACAGTCTTTCCATTGGTGTGTATTTTGTTTTCAAAACAGAGTTATACAATTTTCGAAATAATAAAAGGACGTAAAGTGTATTTATTCTTTTTTATGATACTTCTATATAAGTTAGTTAACATAGCTAGTCGTAACATCTTTGCAAAAAGCGACGTTGAACATTAGGAACAGAAAAATGTAAGAGCATTGTAAAATAAAAATATGTGAAGCGTTTCTATTTTCTTTAGGCTAAAAGTAATATTTATTTTTATCTAAACGGATAGTTGATTTCATATTCGCATAGAACATAATCGATTGAGTATATTCACGTACTTTTTTGCATTTTCCGAGTTTCTATGGAACGCAAAGGAGAACATATAACTAAGAATGCTACGCTAGCGCTATAATTTTCTTCTGTATTAGAGAAAAGAAGAGAAAAACAAATGAAAAAAATACACCTGGTTGATGCGTCCTGGGGTGAAAGAATATTTCTTTAATAAATTATTTTAATATATGTTAACACTTATTAATTTTTTCAAAGTTATAATGTTACCAGAGAAACTCTATTTGATTGTTCTACTGATGATGGTGTAGAGTCATTAAAATAAATCGGAAACAAACATATTGCTTATAACTTAAATAACATTGAGTGTTTAAAATTGTGCTCAGTGAAAAAAATATCCTTGAAAATATTTTCTATCCAAGTATTAGAAAAAATTTAATTGACAATGTAGTCGGTTGTTATTTCTATCATATCATGTGTACATAAATCAAAGATATTTGAAATAAAATCGTTTTTCTGTAAATAATCATCATTATAAAACAAAAAATATCTAATAGGATATTTAACTAAATAATTATTTAAGAATTGTATAGTATCTTGATATTATTTTTAAAGCTAATGCCAAGAAACATTCTTTAGTTTATTAATGTGCAGAGAGAAGTTATAAAGAAACTTTTGCATCGATAATAGTATTTTTGATGATTTTTTATTTCTATTTCGTAGACTCTACGAATATTATTTTTTTTTCTGATACATTGATAGATGAAAATTAAGTTTTCGGATTAATTTGGAAGCATTAAACTATGGCTTCAGAGAAAGATATGAAGGATTGAGAAATATGCCTGTGTCTGTCAGCCAGCTACATTAGTTGATTATTCTGTGTGAACTTTTGTATTCTTTTTTGTGTTTTAGATCAATCTGTCAATGTATGATACTAATGCGATAAGCCAAACTAGATTGAAATAAATTTTCTTGATTAAATAATGAATATAATAGTCATGACAGTGATTAGCTATGAAAGATGTTTATTCACTATTTGCTACAAGTTCACCATCAGTGTCAAATTATACTATCAATAGTTCAACATCAACAATTATTTATCCTATTTATCATCATCATCATCATTCAATTAATAAAACAACCATCAAACGTAAAAGAGTTTCGCGATCATCGTCACAACAGATATCATCATTATCATCAACAACGGTCACAACTGTCACTTTCATTTCTCGTTCAATTACAGCAGGTAGTGGTCGTTTATTTATTGATGATAGTCAACACACTGCATATTCAGCTAAAACTGGTTTAAAAACAGCTGCATTACTTGGAGGAATGTTAATATTGGTCATTATATATTTATTATGGAAACAACGTGGTAAATGTAGATCGCGTACAAATCAAGAGAAAAAATTTGATTTAGACTATTGGTTAAAACAAGTCGATCTCATACAACAAAAAGAAACACAAAACTATACAAAAGATATTTTTCTTCAATTACCTACGGATAAACCCCGTGATACATACGAAGCAACAGCAACATGGATATTAGACACGTACAAACAATGGCGTCTAGCCCAATACTATCGTTACAATAGTTTGACTAGGACACCTGCCCCTATTCATGAATCACTAACAACTACTACACCAATTTCAAAACGGCTGAGAAATTTTTTAAAACGTCGGCATAACCAACGTTTAAATATTCATCGACGTATTCGTAATATATTAACGTTTTCGTCTACGCCAGGGAGGACTCTATTACCACTAATAAAGATTGATACTTCGCGATTAGATACAGAATTAAAAATATGTATATCAAAACAGCAAGAAGATCAAACACAAGAACAAAATCGTATAACACCATCAATATCGTTTTATGATGAACATGTACCACGTACAAGTAAAGATGTTCCAATATCTAGACAAAATATCTTAACGTGGAGCATGTATCATCGTCATCGTGCACATTCATGGCCAAAATTACGTCCAAATCACTCGAATACGGCTGCTAGAGCACAACGTATCCGAAAACGTCTGTTGAATACATTGCCGTCTACGTCATCATTAACTTCCGTTCAACAACTGCCTATACAAGAAATTAATAATGTGTTACGTTTAACATTAGTGAATCGTCCAAAAGAGACTATTTTGTAGTTCTTGGTGTTCTCATATTCCACACACATCTCTGCTAGTTCATTTTTCTGTAGACAATATTTTTTTATACTAGATACAACTCAGGTCAATAGATAGCTGATACGTAAAACAGAATCCAAATTAGTGTTAAAAATGACTGTTCAGATTTATCAAAATTCATCATATTTCCTACATTTTCCGGCTTCCGAATTTGGACTTGTTGCGGCTTTCGGAATCTAGAATTATCTCTTAACTTCCGGGTAATTCCAACTACAGGTTACGACACCACCCAGCCACGAAAATCCGACAACCAGAATTTGACTGGAGGTTATCAGTTTGAGACAGGAAATTATCCCTAAGATTAGAGACTTCGAGTTAAAAGTTCTTGTTCAGTATATAACCTGAGCATGCAATTTAGTTCCATTGAGCAGGATCTTGGGACATTTCGTGCACAAGAAATAATTATGATGTTTTTTCCTATTTAAAGAGGTTTTTTCCTGAAGCTAGATGATACATCGACTTTATCCGGTTTTCTCTTCGGAAACACGATGCAATCAATAGAAATGAGTATCTTCAGACTCATCAGAGATCGTGTTCAGCAATTTTATTTCGGTTGGCTTCCTCATCCTCTAAAGCTTTCAAATGCTGGTTGTTATATGAAATATTTCTACTTAATTTTGATGTGTCGTAAAAAAAGTCTAGTTCTTTCTTGTGTATGTGTAATTATGCAGTATTAAGTAATGATTTTTCTTTCTTGACTTTTCTGATCATTCAAGCGATCCTTACTACATGTCTGCAATTTTTATTAGGCATACTTTTCTGTAACAGATTATCTGATGCTTTTTCTTATAATTTCAGATTTCTTTGTTTGAAAAAGATGAACAGATAGACATAACAGATACTAGTGAGAAATGAACTTGCAATGCTAGAGCGAGAGCGACTGAGTAAAATAGTGTGTACTTATGCAAGAAAATCCATTGAGTTGCTCAGATACAGAGCTAAGCCGGTCAGAGTGTTATGTCAGGCACCAGAGGCGTGCCATAAGAGAGAAGATCATAGTTACGGTTATTGCGCAAAACAGATTCACGGTTATAGTACAAGACTATGGTTAAGGTTATTGCATAGGGTATAGTCAAGATTATTGCGCAATATTTCGTGTATAAACAGATCAGTTCTATTGTTAAAAGGAGAGGTTTTTGTTTGTAAATAAACGGTTTTCAGAATCATCAGACAAGACAGACACTAACATTTGGTGCCGTGATCCGGGAAATGTAATTTTCTAATTCTAATGATTGAGTATTGAGTTTGAAGATAACAGGCAAAATCACGTATGTGTTGGCCATGGAAATAATGTTTGTTTACTGTTGCTGGCGTTACAATAGGGATTATGGGTTGGAAATTTGCTTTTGAGTATTCTTCTTCGTCATCATCTTCACTGGAATTATATCGACTATCAAACGGATGATCATATATTTCGCGTAAATCGATCCATTCTGATCCATCTGTCGATCGTTGATCATTTAAATGTTTCGACTGTACTATTAAGCTGTTGTTCTTCATAACTGGTGACGGATGAATTTCCATTGATTGAATACGTTTCAAACATGCTAATTTATCATGATCCATATCATCATCTTCTAACCCTTGAAATGACATTTGAAATACATCATCAAATGCAACGTAACCACTTAACTGGTTGTAATCAAATTTAACTAAACATTCTCGTTGTTGTTGATCTAGTTTAAATATTGTTTCTTGTAGAAAATCAACGCTAGGAACCCTTGCGTATTTTTGATCATAAATCATCACCATTTGATGAATGTGAAATTGTTCACCCCAAACGCCTGTAAAGGAGTTAAGACTGTGTTGCTGTGGTTGTTGTTGTCGAAGATTTGAATGTGGTTTTGGTTTTGTTGCATAATGTTGCTGTTTAGTGTTGAAAGCCAAAGGGGCTGCCATTCATCATCTGTATAACGTGCTTGTGGGTTGGACCATTGTTTGAATTTTTGTTGACAATAACGTTGTCTCATTTGAATTTATTTGGATACCTACTGTGATGTTGAATTGCCAGTCCCGCCCAGTGATACGGGAATTATTTAGATTGTTTGTATTTACTGTCATGTTGGATTGACAGTGAGCCGGCTAATGCACCAGTGTTAGTGTCCGTCTTTTCTGATGATTCTGAAAACCGTTTATTTACAAACAAAAACCTCTTTTTTTAACAATAGAACCGATCTGTTTATACACGAAATATTGCGCAATAATCTTGACTATACTCTATGCAATAACCTTGACCATAGTCTTGCACCAAAACCGTGAATATATTCTTGCGCAATAACCTTAACTATGATCTTCTCCCTTATGGCACGACTGTCGTGCGTGACATGACGCAGAGGTTTCGCAAGTCACGAGTCAAGTCACTAAAACAGTTTTCAAGCCGAAGCAAGTCAAGCCTGGTTAAAAAATAGGCAGAACATAAAATTTTCCACCAAGTCAAGTCAGATTAACTTGACTTGCCCAGCTCTGCTCAGATGTATGATGATTCGATCTATTCTGGTTAAATATCCTAAGTGATTTCCTCAACAACGGACACACAGAAGTCGCCGGATGCAACTCGATTCCTTTCAGTTTCTTTTTTCTGACATGAGCAGGCAAGATATCTGCAATGAATCATACAATTTGCAATACGAAGTCTCTTTTATTTGTACTGTTATCAAGACAGGCAATCCCAGGGAGATCATTTGTTCGCATTCACCATATATTGCTAGTCACGTTCTACCTAACAAGATATTCAGGTCGTTGCAAATAAAGAAACAACGGTGACATTGCACACCTCCATGGAATAGATGCGGTTTATCAATATGACCTAGAATAAGTCCTTTATGCCTCTAAAGAATTTGAGAAAAGTTTGATCTGCTTAAAGAAAATATGGAAAAACAGCAAAAAATATTCCTACACACAACTTACGATCTATTTTCCCGTCCGTTGTTTTTCCTGCAAACTTCTTAAGCATTTTTCATTTGCAGTAACAATATTGGAGATCCTAATTTTATCTTTTGATGATAGTTAATCACCTTGTTTTTACTTTCTGTACAGTGATAGTACGGTCATAGTCTTTCAAGAAATGTTTAGTATATAGAGACAAATACACGCCGCATACTAGTTTTGCTATTCCAAAAATAAGACACGAAGACATTTATAGAAAGAATGTTTTTAAATAAGGTACCTGTTAGACAAAATAAATTTCCCATTGACTTATAAATATATAACTGTATTATTATAAGAGAAAATTGAATAATTGTCGTAATTGTTCACAATATTTTTGATAAAAATTTGACATTGGTGTGCGAAAAATGCGCGATGAGCTGTTGAGGACGGTTACAAAAATATCAGGAGTCATGCAGATACACCAACACAATCACTTATTGAGAAAAACGTTTTTTGACAGAAATGTACGAAGAAGCCACACCCAATAACTAAAAAATGTGGATAGCAAAAAAATATTTTACTAAAGATGAATATATTACCCAACAAACATATCAGGGTACACTCTAAAAAAACTGCGACTTAGCCTCAAATCTCAAATAGGTCGCATTAATGTGTCTTATTTTCACAGAATAGGGCCCATTAATGCGACTTAATTTGATCCTAAGTCGCAAATTTCTTTCTGAATGTAGCAATAGTGTCATTTTCGTCAATTAAGTTTCTCGAAACAGTTCTAGAGGATAGTTTGCAGTCCCCGAAAGATTTTCTGGAAAACCTTTTCGTGAACATTTTCCAAGCTCCATGGAATAGATGCGGTTTATCAATATGACCTAGAATAAGTCCTTTATGCCTCTAAAGAATTTGAGAAAAGTTTGATCTGCTTAAAGAAAATACGGAAAAACAGCACAAAATATTCCTACAGAGCCTACACACAACTTACGATCTATTTTCCCGTCCGTTGTTTTTCCTACAAACTTCTTAAGCAAAATTCTGCTTTTTATGTCAGACCTTAGCGAGAACTCTAAGATCCGAAACCTTTTAAATCAGTTTTCTATAGAAATCAAATTCTGGAATTTCAGAAAAAAGTATGTAAAATTCGTAATATAAATCCTTTCATTAATACAGGGTACAACCGCGGGAGAAAGTGCGTGACAGATAGTAAAGCTACAAAATTTGTAGAGGAACAGCTCTGGAATTCTGAGTTCTATAAAATAATAATTTTCATCTGTCATCGTCATCACATGAGGTGGCGTGTCATATTTCAATTATTTTCTATACTATATACTATTCTTTTTCCGATCGTTCATAAACGATGCTATTCCCTTCTGCTTTTGTCTCTGACTACAGTTTGAAAAAGTCAACAAACAACTTGTCCCACACCGTCTGAGAGATATTTGCGCATATGTAAAGTAACTCCCGCTTTTATGAGAGTTCTTCATATAACCATAACTTATTTTTCATAGTGCAAAAGGCAAAAAAATCTCAACTTCGTACTATATTTAACGTTAGATTTCTCATCAGCTTCAAGGAGAGAGCGCAACGTTCAAACACAGAATGCGCAGTTAAATAACGTGCATCAGTTTCAGAAAGTCATACACCTTTTGATCTAGCCACTTTTTAAATGGCATTGCACGTAGCCAGTCCAATGGCAACGCTCGATAACCGTATCTGACGCCGAATAATGCACCACAAACCGCACCGTTCGTATCCGCATCTCCACCTTCATGAATCAATTCATTCAGTGTTTCTTTAAACGACTTTTCGGAACGCAAACCATAAAACCCTGCGCCCATGCACTTGTACGTATAACCAATCGATTGTCTC